AGATTATTATTGTTTTTTTTTGTAACGTTAGGGTGGTGTGGTTCAGATATGATCTCATGGAGATCATCCAACGGTAGGCTTAGAAAACGTGCTGTTTCGACTGAGTGAGACCTTAGGGAGAAGAGTGTCAGATATGTAGGGTTCTCTGAGCATACATATGGGTGGTTGGAGTCATGCGGGGACTTATATTTGGTATGTCGGGGTTGATTATGTATAAGTAAGAATTTAACCTGCTACAGTATACAGAACAAAGCTGTGCAAGGGTCACTCTCGTATCCAGCGACAATTCGAGCTCGTTATCTGCAATCACTGAGAATGAGTCGAGGAAGGTTTTTATTGTTTCGCTGTGAATAGTGATCTGAAGTTAGTTGCGCTCGAAATCTGATAGGCGTATTGTTTTATTTCGTCAAAAGAAAGTTAAGAAAAGACATCTTAATCATCCTTGTTGGTGGTTCCGCTTCAAGCAGGCGACTATACGGATAGTTTCTACGATAACGCTCCCAGCAGAAACTGCTTGAAGAGAAATTCGTTATGCTCCTTAACCTTAAATTATTGTCGAAGGCAGATAAAGGTCTTCATAAAAACTGTTTTCCCCTATTAAGTATATATCGACCAGAAAGTTACTTATATCAAACAAAGTTGCGAGAGAGACTTAACAAAAGGTTTTTGTGAGATGCAAACCGTTGCCGCAGCCGAGATTTTTTCTTATTTTTTGATATTTTATAATGGTGCTTTGCAGTGTATAAGCAGCTGCAGTTTTTTTTCCCCCCAAGCCATTCTGCACCTGCCCAGTAAGTTTGAAGACAATTTAGATATTTATTTATATTTATTAATAATATGCATGTATATATGCTTTATCGTCAACTTCATGATTGTTATTACATCATACAATTTATGTTTTCAACTTTCGCAGATATCGTGAACGATATCACTTTTATAGTAAAATGAACAAAATAACATTACATTTGCTTCGTGCTTATTTCATTATTACTTCGGGTTTTGAGATTTTTTCTTGTTTTGTTTTTACTTTTATAAGTATTGTTAATTAAGACAAAATTTGAGTAGTTGTAAAAATATGCTAATAAATATTAAATACACGTGTAAATATTTAGTACTAGGGGTTTCTATCGTATATATGTATGTGTGTGTATATATATATTATAGGTATATTTTAAGTCGTATTCCTAAAGAAAAACAATACTTTAGCAATCGAGTAGAATACAGAAATAATTTACAGATAGTAAAAGTATTGCAGTTACAGTTAATTCAAATGAACTATACGTACATATATACGTACATAAGTATTTCTTAATATGTATGGTTGTTACAAAATATACAAATGTTGTAGTAGTTTTATGTAAATTTCAATTGCTAGCATACGATTATTGTTTGTGGTATATATTTTTGTTTTTGAGTTTGTTTTGATTTT